GTCCACACTTTTCATCAGAGTGGGGGGGGGGGGGGGGGGGGGGGGGGGGGGGGGGGGGGGGGGGGGGGGGGGGGGGGGGGGGGGGGGGGGGGGGGGGGGGGGGGTATTACGGAAAAAAACAACGAAATTACAAAATGCTCCGTCCTCGCCCTCACCCTCGTCGAACTGCACCAGGGGTTGGTCCTCAAAGTAGTTTTAACGTATGAACTTGTTTAGAACCAGTTGTAACCTCCTTTTTCTGTTCAGAGAATCGTCTACAGTGGTGTTACATTCGCACTTTCTTCCATCTTGTTAACGGGTCAAAATGACGCCTTCACATTGAGTCTCAATGCCCGCTGTAAGGATTTTCGAATGTCAACAGTGACGCGATTTATGGACCATGCGCTTATAATACGGCAATTCGGTCCATATTTTATGCCAGATTTCTGCCTCAACATCTTTAATGTCTCAGGAGTTCCCACCATTCGCACACTGTTGATATTTTCTGGAAAGAGGTTCGTTTTTCAGTTCTAAGAAAGATTGGATACCGAGAGAGTTATCATTAGCCAAGTAATACTTTGAGCTTCCTAAGGCTGCGTTTATTCTTTGTAGCAACGTCCACCAGCATTCGCGTCCTGCAGCGTCAGCAACTAGGGAAGTATAGATATCTATCTAACAGCGTCTGCCAGCACCTCCCAGCGTCCGCCAGCGACCAGCAACCATCACCAACGCGTCTTGAGGGCTAGGGAAGTATAGGTATTGATCTAGCCTCTGTCAGCGCCCAGCAGCGTCTCGAGGGCCAGGAAAGTGTAGGATTGGGTTAACAACCAGCAGCTCTTCTACCGTCCACCAACGACAAGCAGCGTCCGCGAGTGGAAGGTATGGGGCGCTAGGCGGGTAGCAGACAGCTGGTAAAGCGTCGGGAGATAGGAGGGCAGAGGCCGCTGGTAAAGAATGGCCTGATAGGATGGTAGCAGACAGCTGGTGCCTTCCTACTGCATCATACTCTCTACCAGCAGTCTGCTAGCAGACTGCTGGCGGGCGATAGATCGATATCTATACTTTCCTAGTCGCTGACGCTGCCGGACATACGGAACGCTGGTGGATGCTGCCGCAATGTGTGAACGCAGACTAGAGAAGCTTGAAGTATTAGTTGGTTGTAACGAGTGGTAGTGCTTGGAGAGCTGTCGTATTTTCTCTGCCGAGGATACTTGTGGTGATCAAGGGATTTATAAAAAACAAACAACATACGTTATAGCTTACGAGTAGCACGCATTCAGGTTTTGGCGTCATCAAAAACCTATTCCGAAGCACTGAATCATCTTTCGAACCGTCACTTATTCTCTCCGTCGTACATCATTCTTGGGGGACGTGAACGGGGAGAAGGGGCGATCATATCAAGGTACGTATAAAGTATTATTATATTATTTATTCGTTGTTAAATATTTATTGTATGTATTCAAACAAAGGATATTTACAAAACCGTATTTGAACCCATAGCTCACGCATACTCTTCAGGGATCGCATGCGTGCTGCCGATGTGAGGACTCTGAGTGATGACAGATGGTTCTTAGTAGAAACTAATTTCGATCCCTGGAAAAAACCCGGTGACAAGAGGAGGTTCGTCTACTGAAGCTGTTGTTTTTATTGAAAACCGACTCGGGTAAAAGCGACCTGTACAATTCGAAGAATGAATTTCCCGTCCACTTGCCCTAGAATATTATAGCAAAGAGTGCTTAGTAGAAAAGAGCTGTCTGTGTCGGAAATTTTTTTTCGGGACTTCGCAATGGTAATTTGTAAGCAGGTCTCCAACATGGTTTCAAAACCAATAGAACGGTTAGGCGATTGGCAATGGACTTGAATGTTCAGATATGCGGAGAGGATAGCTGAGTTGAAAGGCTAGGCCAAACTGAATAAATGTCTCAACTATTAAGCTGCGTTCATACTTGGCATCCACCAACGACCGGCATCGAGCGACTAGAAAAGTGTAGATGTCGATCGGCGTCTACCAGCGTCTATCAGCGTCCACCAGCGTCTGCCG